GTGGTGGTGGTGGCGAACGTTTTAAGAGGTTCATTCGCTGATGACGACGCCACTTTGCCCGTCTGTTGGAAAACCAAACCTAAGAGTCACGAGTTAGGTCGTTAGATGGCTTGTGATCAAATTTCTAAGCTTCGAAGAAACCAGGAGGCTATGCACGCGACAGTCGCAGGGCCTATTCCACGGGCGACACCGACGCAATTCTCTGTGTATCGCGTTACTTCGCTTCTCTATGGATCTGAAAGCTCTCGACGAAGAGTAGAAAGAGAAATAAGGACTACGATCGAAACGAAAGACGAGAGAGGCAAGAAAACTACGATCAAGAACAAGCCCTGCGAGACGAACGCACTAGCCCCCCGACAAAGATATCTTTGAGATGGAATTGATCCTCACCTGTACACGAGCTTCCGAGAGAGAGGTCTTAGAGGCTAGCCGTTCGCGCGTAGACACGCAAGGATAGTGAGATCGCTCGAATTCTTTCTCGAGCTCCTCGAGCTGTTCCGGGCTGAAGGTGGTACGATTTCGTCGGAATTTCGGTTGCTCCGACCCATCCAGGCTTCCTTCATCTCCGTCACCGTCTGCACAGAAAAACGACCATCTTCCTCTACTACCATCCCCTGTCTCGCGTTATCTTCCTCCACTCGACAACACGTTTCACGATTCTATTTCCTTTCTCTCTTTCTGATTTTCATCCCAATCGTTCTTCACACGGTTAATGGAAGATTAAACAATCATCACCTTGCAAGTAGCCTCGTGCGATGGCGTCCGCGTGAAGAGAGTGATCCGCCGTTCCAGCAGCCGACGCAGAGGCGGGATGGAGCTGTCGCGTTGCTGCAAACGCCTGGAAATAAACGAGCATGCTTCTTCTGGAACTGTCTACTTTGCGATTCTTGTGATTCTTTACGAGAGAGTAGAGAACTTTGGTGGTTGTTTAACGTTGTCCAGAAGAAAAAGTAAGATAAATCGTCTAGTCTTATTCGGATTTCTTTCGTTTCTTGTTCGCAATTCTTTGTGAGATTTTGAAGAATTTTGGTAGATGACGGACGATGACGATCTGAGCTGGTTTGAAAGATAAAATAAAAGTTGAATCATGTATTCTTATAGGATTCGTCTCGCTCCTTGTTTGCGATTCTTTGGAAGATAGTGGAAAGATTTAGCAGATGGAAAACGATGGTAGTTGATGGTAGTTTGAAATTGTTCTGAAGGTAAAGTAAGTTAAATTGCGCTCTCTTGTCGAATTTGTCTCGTATCTTGTGAGAATTTTCCTAGATCGTCGTTGATTGCGCTTGTTCGAAAGCGTAAAGTACACCTTCCTATAATATACATAACATATACGGCATTGACGCGTAATGAAACACATGTGTCGTGCGTTATTGATAAGCGAGTGACCTTTTTGACAATAATAATAGGTGTCCACGCTAATAATAATAGATCGTCTCACGTACTCGAGACTATAAAACAAACAATCGATTTATGACCTACTAGTTTTATATTATACGATTATTGTAAAGTACAATAAACAGTTTTAACTTTGATGTTAGGCTAGAATCGTAACATGCTAAAGGCGTGTTCGAATTTCTTCTACGATGAACTTCAATTGTAGGTTTACAAATAGATTTCGTAGCAGGTAATGTGAATTATAGTTTCCATCCTCGACACCTTCCTCCCAAGATTCCGTTCTTTTGAAATCAATAATGAACACCTTGCATCCGGTTCTTTCTGCGTTTCGAAATGCTCTTGATTTTCATGTAAATTGCTCGTGGATGACGCACGATACGCCTCAAAGGAGAAAGTTCCCAACGCATTAAGAACGAGAGACGCAAATTCAGTTAATTGATAGTCGAAGAAGGAATGAGACATTCGTGCGCGATGAAGAGAATACAAGGTGAGACTACGTCGAAGCTCGTTTTCAAAAGAATAAAGTATGCCGATGAAGAAGGACGTGGAAAAGTTTCTTGATTCTAGTCGCAATTGCACGTGCGCTCGTACTACGACACACGTAATACTATTATTGCGAGCGATTTGCAACTGTGCACGAAACGTGCGGCTCACGCATTGTTAAATAAGAAGTTAACTAACTACATATCTAGTTGTTGGCAATTACATATGAACAGAATTCGTCGTTCACTTTATCGTATTGTATATTAGCAACTCGGAAGTTAAACCGATCAACTCTGTTTTTTGAAAAATTCTTAATTTCACTACAAGATATTTTCCGACGAAATCGAAAATCTTTACTATCGTCGACGTTCGACAGATCATTTTGACAATAAAATATGTTACACGTCACGTAATGGTGTAAGGAGTAAATCGAATAGTTCTGTACGAGTGAATTTAGCTCTGTTGTCGAGATATTAGTGGAACTATCGAACTGATGTCTTCGGAAATGTATATTTTTATGAACACTATTATAAGAAACGAAATTCAGATAAAAATTTGCTTCGTCTAATCCTAAATGTTCTAACGAACACTTTATGTACTTTAGATATTTTGCGTGTTTAAATTTCTTATAGATGCATAAATTTCTACAATCTACTGATGTATCTAGTTAATTACTTAATTAATTAATTTGCTCTCTACAACTATCTAACCTATCTCCGTTAGATCTTTTTATAAAATTGTATGAAATCAAAAGTAGTTAAATGGAAGGCTGGATACGAGATATATATACATATATATACACGCGAACCTGGTACGTTCGCATTAGAAATAGTCTGTTCAATATTTTGATCAACAGAAGTTCACTTAGTTGTATGTATAGAGACACGGCATGATTATTTTAAGCATGTAGATATCATTAGACTAAATCAATAAATAAAATGTCAGAAAATTCCAAATCTATAATTAAGCAAAAATCAAATAGCTGGAAGGCGTTTGACTGTTTGTCGTTTATATCAATATACCTCTCATATTTCTAAAATAAAGAATTAATGAACGGTGTATATGACATATTTTATCTGGAATAACATGCTGAATGCGTTGGTGAAGTTCGTCGATTTCATTGCGGAATACGATGGCTATATGTATACGATCAGTGCTTAGTTTCTTGGAATGCAAATGATTACCGTCATAATCATATATTCTGGTACTAAAATTAAGAATTCTTCATACAGAGTCGATTAGTTTGATTTCTGTGTAACAAACATGAATCAAACTGGTCCATTAGCAAGAATGTAGAGCGACAGCAACAGCATTCGGTTATACTCGTTTACTTTATTATATCCGTTTACCGAGCAATCTGTCCATAAATTCATTTTCAGTAACTCAAACAAGCATTTTTGAAGCATTCCTATGCGTTTTTTACACTTTAATTTTACCAAAGTGAACGAGCATTAGCATTAGCTCGGTTAGGCTAAACGTACTTTAACAGATGCCATTCTTTCATTCATCGTATTGTTATCCACGCGAAGTAGCATCGACAAAATGTGCTTACCTTCGGAGATGAGCCTCTCTCGAATTTCCCATGCGAAGATCGTCGGATTTTCCCTCTTGTATTGTTCGATTTTAGCGACGACGGCTGGCGTCGCAACTTTTGGCTTGCTGCCACCGATTAAACCCGGCGGGCGCAACGTACCTGGAACACGTTAGAACGAACTTCAAGGACGCGTTGTCTTCGCTAATATTTGTGCTTCGCGATAAAATTGGTCGTAAACGGCGATGCCGGTTTATATGCCCGTGCCGGTCGTATCGGCGAGTGTCCAGCATTGAGCCCGCATAATTTCGGAAAATCACGCAAACACCGGACATTCTCCACGTAATAACGCTCGAGTGCAAACTGTCAGCCGACCTTTATAAGTGTTCCTCAAGCACACGAGCTTCTACATTGTATGAATTTCTACTTAAACATACGTAGTACGCTACGGGTAGATTGGTTACAAAAGTATATATATGGAGAAAGGAAAAGAATTATTGCTCGCAGTTTGTTCGATGCATTGGATGGAATACGTTGTAGCAGTTGACAAGATGGAGGCTTAGAAGGTTGGAGCGCATCCCGTGTATAAGTCCTGGCTCGCACGGGCTCTCGACATCGGATACCAATCGTATCGTCTGGGCGGATCCACACGAGGTAGTCATTAGGAGCTTAGCGCGTGAAACGATACTGGTATGCGATAGCCTGCGATAATATATAATCAGAGATATCTAATATGAGCCGAGACGTGTTCAACCTGCTGCCATGCTGCTCCTCTGCGTTTCTTTCCGCTCTCTTCTCCGCTCTGATCGATCGTCATGAAAGAGCAATGCTTCCAACTCGCTGGAATTAGGCATAATTAATGAATACTGAAAGTTCGAATCGTTGCAATCGCATTCGTTTTCCGATGTGTTTGATGCTTCAAATTGAGCTGCTGAAGTGGCAAGTTTTGTAGCAAATAAGTACAATTTTTTTATGGGAGAGGATGAAAGCTGTACGAGCGAGATATGGTAAGAAAAATTACAAGCGAGAGGAAATTTTATTCGAGGTTTTACAATCATCACAACATAGAGAATGAGATTGCTAGTAAATTGCGATTAGTAAATTTCAACTTCCCTTCGCTGTTTTATTCCAGTTGAAGGATTTTCGCAGTTTAACGCGATGTTAATTGCGTGTTAAATATTTTCGCCGAAACAATAATTTGCTTATCATGTTGAACGTTCCGCTAAATGTATTTCACAATTTAAGGACCTTGCTCTTTCCAGTCTCTCAGTTTTTGTCGAATTATCGATTGTAATTATAAGATCGTGTATCATCGAGAATCGTAAGCAGAGTTCGCATGATTGTCTCGTTGACAGATTCGTAGTGATTATCATCGATTTAACTGCTTCATTTTCCTAGCGTATCACAACTCCTCGGGAAAAGTTGGACGTCCGAAGTGGACGAACCCAGCTCTATAATGCTGGCAGAGAAAGCGCAGTCACACTCGAGTAATTATAGAACGTTTTGCGTTATCATTAGCGACAATGGCTACGGTACAGCTGACAAGTTGTACGCCGAAGGCAGACAGGTGTTACGCGAATACATAACTACAAAGATGGAGTGTCGTACGATGCTCGTTAAACTCGACCGTCGATAAAATCCGCGAACTCTATTGAACGACCTGATGCACTGGAAAAATTGTCTATCAATGGAGATACGCTTGTAGCTATAAAGTTGAACAGCGTAATTGAAGTTTTTATTATGCAGCTGTTTCGAAGAATATAGATGGACGAATGTTTGTTGTACAAACGATGGAGGTTCTATGGGTATTCGAAGTTGAGAAGCTGGAATGATAAACGACGAGAGTTCTAAAAGAAATGGAAAAAAGCTTTTAAAGTTATTGCAGAATGTAACAGTATTATGATCGTCAGAATTCGGTAGATGGTGATTAAAAAAGAAGAAAGTATAAACCACAGAAGAAAGTACAAAGGAAGAAATTTCTAGAACCGTAAAGGTAGTAAACGCTAAAAATTCGTAACAGTCGAATAATAAACGACGTAACCGTCAAAATTAACAGAACCGTGTTTTTCTTTCTATCGGAACTCTTCGCTTCTGACATGACTTATCATTTCAACTCCTCCACTCTTTATTTAGCGCTCGGTCCTAAAACTTCTACTTCTTGATAAAACTAGAAGATTCGCATGTACAAGGAACTCGCGTCTTACGTGTACTCGCGCGCTATTACAGGAAAAACCGCTTCGAAACCGCTTCTTATCGCAGAAATAATTGTTGAAAAAAGTACACGAGCCGGAGAACAGGCTGCTTACACGCAGAATACGCGATGTTAGACGTATCGGAAGGCTTGTCTCGCGTCTCGTACCGCTGCCGGAGTTGTCGAAACGCACGATGTTGGCAAGGATAATGGAAAACGGAGGCGCAGTCAGAGTTGAGCAATTATCGGTAGTTACGTCTTATTATTAATAACAATAATGACGGCTAAAGTCTGTAGGATATCGCGTGCGCTCCCACGGATGAACTGCGTGCCTGGTATAAACGATGTACCCACCTAATAGGCATCCATGCCTCGAGCAAATTCTTTGCCCCGATCCAATGTCTCTCTCTTCCATCTGGTTACTCGCTTTTCCTCCTCTCTTTCCGTTTCATTTTGTTCCGTGTGCACGGCCGCTGGTCCGCGCGCTCGCGCGTGTATATGAAATTTTCGAGAGCGGGGTTCGGTTAATGAAAGAAACCGCACGAAGCCGCGGTTCCATCGTACCTAGTGGTTACTCGTTCCTTCATGGATCGAATCAACGGACAGCGGACGCAAGCGGATCACCATCCGTATGCTTATTCGTCTCGAGCTTTGCGATGGCTACCAGCATCCATCCACGATGAGATCGAGCCGGCCATTATGGATTTACGAATGGAAAATAGGCGTAATCGCGGAACAGAATGCAGGGATAGGTTTCTCTTGCGAGGCACGCGGTCGTTATCCCAACGAACGTCTATGCAGCCGATCGCTATGGAGCGTTCCAGCCATCTTCTCGACGTTCCTTTCGCGCATTCAGGGACCATTTCTCCATCGGCGACGATCGATCTTGGTACGCGTGGATAAGAAGACCGATAGGATGTTGCGGCTGAATTAATCGTTCGGGATGTATCGGAGAAATTAGACGATATCGGCCGTCTAGCTAAGAACGTTTTTCTCGCTGCTCTCGAGAAATTTATCGTGCTCTCGAAACGCTGCTGCACAAAGATATCAACGCACGTGATAAGCTCTATAATACGAATACATGTTCTCGGATGGCGGATATGTATCTCGGCGAAATCGTTGATTCTTGATTCCATACGAAGCCGTGGATGCGAGGTTCGCAAGATGGATGAACTCGCGTCCGCGGTTGTCAGACGGGAGTTAACGAAACCGTAACGTTCACCAGATACAACGGTGAACATCCTTGGAACGCCCAGTCGATGGTCTCGAACGTTCGCAACACGCGTTTCGTGTCCGCACGCAGAATACACCGCGGTTGCTCTCGATCGAAGAAAAAGATTGCGAAACTGGAAGAGGAATCGGCGGTTCTTGCGCAGCCAGACGACTACGGCGCAGCCAGGGGATTAATTGTTTGCCGCTGTTAAGTAATTGCGGGTCGATTATGGTACATTATATTCACCTCGAGAGGCCTAAGGAGTCCGTATCCAGTGGAGATGAAGACATTACCGGCGAGCCGAGAGAGCAGGCCGAACGGTATTTTTACGAGCCGCTCGTAAAGTTAACGAGGACCAAGGTAGCAGTCAGTCGAGAAAGAGAGAAACCAGCGTTCCACCGATGCTCGGTGGCTCACCTCCATTTTTTTATTGCTCCCCTCGGCAATGTTCAGCGTTCCTCTTCCTCTTCTCCGAACGTAGAAGTCGATGGTCGTCGCCACTGTTGCTCGACTTTGAATCACGATTTTCGACCATCGATTCACACCTGTTTATCGGATTCGACCTCCCTTCGATCGTTAGAATACCTATCGTTTATCCATCGGTTGTTCGATGATTCAATTTCGTCAATGATATAACGAGTTCTTCTTTTCAAAGTTCGATGTACCCGATTGAGTTAACGAATCAAAGTTTTCTAATGGTTATTTGTATTAGATCGTTTGATAAGTTGATGGTGTTTTCACGTAACTCGCAGCACTTCAACACAATATGCGTGTATCGTATCGTTCAATGACTTTCGTTTATCTATTCTTAATCAATGACTAATGCCTTTAATTGACAACCATCACTCACCGAGTGTATGCTCGAACTTTATTAGTCTTCAATCCCAGTCTTGAAATCCCAATCTTTAAATCGAAGAAGCCATCTTTAGACGGTTCTTTCCTAAAAATGCTTTCTCCATAAGCAATAAAAAGCTTCGTCTGCTATTTCTACTGTATTCTTGTCATTCTTCTGATATAAGAAATATGTCAAACGTGCAAATATATCGTACTTTTTCGTCTTAAATCTGTCACAAAATTAACAGATATTTGTTAAAAGCATTTCCATACTTAAAGAGACATTAAAATTGTCCAAGATCCACAAAAATTAACAGAGCTTATCAAACAATGCATAAATTCTTGGTACAGTAAAAAGAACGTCGTTCGATATCTCCTAAATTCCTCGAGTAGATTCCTCGAATCGGGGACGTGGAAGATCGGCACGGGTAAAGATCAGAGCAATTATTGACAAATTATTCGAGAACGGTCGAGCACTGGTCATGCGAATGTTTTACGGGAAAAAGAAACAGCTGTTACGAGTTAATCTTGGCCGGCTAACGAGCTCGAAAGACCGCCGCTTCTTCGTAACGCTCGTTATGCCTTATTTGCCCATACTGATACGCGATGCTCCTTCTTATTTCCCCGACAGTGGTTGGAAAATGCTCGGGATGCCGATCAATTTAGTTTACGCCGTTTTATCGCCTCGGACGCGAACGAGCGGTCATCAACGTCAATCTGCTCGAATTTGCTGCGCAAACAGTACGGAACATCCTCGTAAAAAACTAGCCGTGAACGAGTAGCTCGCGGGACTGTCGTCAGCTTGTCGTGATTAACGACGCTGGCGAATTAATATTTTGAATCTGGCAAACGCTTAAGAGATCTCTTTACTTCAGCGTGTCTAAGCTTCGGACTCGTTTATCTCTAGTATCTTTCTAACGAATGATCTGATAAAATCAAACCACTTACGGTGTATGGAAGCGATAAAGCGAGATTGTCAAACTGGTCAATGTTTGAAGTGTACGACTTTCGATGATTAATTACTATTAATTTGAAACGTATAAATGAACTTATAATAAACGTATTTATAATAAACGAATAATTAATTTGTATCGGTGATCATAAGGACCTAGGATCGGGGATCATAAGGACCTTGTTCAGGATCATATAATATACGCAATTTGAAATCGGTTTTTCGTTCGTTCCCGAGAATAGTTACAATCAAAAGTTACATTTTGGGAAATTTGAAGATGTAAAAATGCAAAGAATATATATACAATACGAAAATATAGAGAATATCTAATATTCGTTAGAATAATTTGTACATAAGCGAGATATTCTGTTTAGCTTTCACGTTTCAGCTGCGTTTATAAAAACACGAATTTGTACAAGTATCCGCAATCTACCGATAACAAGTGTCTAACTTATGTTCAACGTATAAGTTATCGTTGAGCTGTTAACGATGACAGAAAATGTTTTCAAAAAAGCAACGCAGGTACCAGCATGCGCATGGAATGCGAATAGCTATAGCTAAATCAATTGGTGACTTTAGTTAATGTTTTATTTTACGACCTTACAAGGTATATCGCTTCTACCTACTATACCATTCGTATGCTCGCGTTGATCAAAGTACTTTCAAACTCGTGCTACCAATTTCTCGGACGCCGGAAGCGGCAATTATCCCCAACTTCGCGGAACGTGTTAATCTTTTTCATCGATGGACGTTTACAAACATTTGCAGAGATTAGAGAAATTTCCAGCGATTCGATCTCTTCCGTGTTACAGGGCATTAGCCACGATTACATCGGTATCTCAAGATTCGTCGGATAGGCTAACGAACAGTCGCGGATGCAATTACCAGGGAATAATGGTGCCACGTCTATGGGAATAATAGCGAAAGATTGCCGCGAGTTTCACCGGTCGTTCCGCGGATCACGATGGCTGCTTCGCCGTTCGCGATCTCCGCTGATTTTTCTGTCGCCTTGAGCGGAGAGCACGCGCGGCTAGGTAATTTTGAGCGAGTTACTGGTGCAGTTTCGCTCGACTGAGCGAACACTATGCCGAACAGGGATTTCCAGCGCGTGTCGTCTCCTGACTCGGCATTTTCTTGGATTTCATCGCGAGGAGCCGCGTCACGGATCGGTAAACGCGTGCACGTTACCGCTCGCCGGCATTTATCTCTCGATGATACCTGGCTGAGAGGAATGCCGTTGTTTGAATCAGTTCGCGATCTATGGAATTCTGTTACGCGAAAGCAAACTGTTCTATTATGCTCCATCGTCTGACCAGAAGGCTTCTCAGAACGGAAAAGAACAAGTTGTAGATACCTTGCATAAAGGTAATTTCTCGTTGAAGGGATACGCTTATGTATAGTCGCTTCTTCTTTTCTTTTTTTAGCTATTTCTTATACATTTAGCTTTCCTCGTGCGTCAAATGGCGAATTATTAAATTATACCGAACTTATAAACAGACGCTCTCGGTCGATAGGAATCCTAACCTGCAAGCTACGCGAAGTATCGACGACAGACTCTCGTGTCTTCCTCACGCATGAGATAATTTATACGAAATTTGACTAGTTTATTAATACGTATGTAGTTTAGGTACCAAAATGGAAAACTTACCCAGAAGTTTGGTGACGACCGCCCCTTGTTGATTCAGCGACAGCACATGATTGGCAAGATCGTTGTAGTGCCTCAAAGCTCCTAATCCGTGCGATAGTTCGAGCAATCGTTGACGGCTGGTTCCACCACCGTTGCCGCTGGCGAATGGTCCCGCGGTACAGTTTTGTAGGCTCACGCCTGGAAACGTAGCAACGTAACCGATTACCAATCTCGCTGGTATAACAAGCCTTCGTCTTCGCCGCTTAACAAGATTGAATCGCGACAATAACGCGAATACGATACAGAGACCAATAGCGAAGACAAAAAATCGTCAGCTACTTGAGAAACCGTATTTCATACTATGTTCAGGAACATTTCGTCGTCTGGTTGTCGTACTGTACGTAAACCCGTTCGTGAGACACAATAGTAGGTATCGTGCAGAGCGGATATAAAACTTTTGCAACTATCTTGCGACAACTATTTGCAAGCAGTATATCTATTCACAAACCGTACGCTTGTGAGTACGCGCTTTCGGTGAACGTTCGACGTGCTTCGTTCTATAATTCATGGACGAACATTCAACGAGTTTCTCGCTATCGAGAACAGATCGAAAAATAGTAGATCGATTCCATGCATCGCTCGAATGTTTATGGTCGATCTGCTACTTTACTCGCGAACGATCGGCAAAAACCGATGATAAATACGATTTCATTAACAGTAAAGGTGTAACGAGCGCGTGGAACGGCGATCGCGAGGACGTGCCAGCGTAATCGAGCGAATTAATTTAAATTACTCGACGCGGAACGCGATCTCATCGATGCGATCTTCTTCTCGTCTCTCGGGGGCCCTCTCGCCGGCACCACGGACAAGGGAAAGAAAGAGATGGCCGAGTGAGAAGCATCTGCCGTTTGAAATCACGTCGATTAATCACCGAAGGTGCGAATACCCTCGTAATTCCACGAAGGACACGGCCGGACCGGTGGTTCGCGACTTCCTCGGTGATTTTATAGGCGG